TTCAGTTGCTTGTGAACAATTTGTAAAGCATGAAAGTATTCAGGGAGCGATTCAACACATTAAGCTATGAAATGAACTATTTGTATCTCTTGTTATTACTAGTTCGCAGTTGCTACTGCTGAGCTGGTTCAATGAACTGTCAATGATGCATTTATTGAGATGAACTACTGAGCTATCTCAGTGATGCTGGACATGGAGTTCATTTGAACGACTGATCTCGCTTACCGAACTGTGAAAAAGAAAACAATTTTAGTCAGTTATTCCAGATATGAAGTAGTTTATAGCGCACGTTCAATTGAAACGCATTAATGCTGAACTAGCTCAGTGAACTGTGCGCAAATGAATCTAGATTGGCAGCTCTAGTGCGGGAGGAGTTCAGTGAACTGTGAACGATAGTTGTTAGCTCGCCTTGCAAGTTGCAATACATGTTATCAAAGAGCTGTGCCGAACTAGTTCGATGAGCGACACAGTTCACAGAGCTATGCCGGCGCTAGTCTATTGGAATCCGCCCCCGAATCGTATCGATGGCAAATTAATAAACGCATTGCTTGCTCGACTTCAGCAGAAATTTGCTTCTTCTTCAGGCTGCAAGTTGCTTAAATGTGGGTGGTTGTTGTGGGTTGGTGTTGCCACAAATTGCAGGTGCACATGCTGCGAGCTGGGCGCTTTGACATTGGCCTGGGTTGCTGTGAGGCTGGAGCTGTTGACAACTGTTCATTAGCTTCTTGGTTTTATCACTCATTTGCCTTGCCACACGGCGCATGCTACATGCCACATGCCACATGCCACATGCCACATGCCATATGCCGCATGCCATATGTGCTGCATGACAGCTGCAGAGCACCCTTGACATTAACCTCCGACTGCACTGCCAGCAGCAGCAGCAGGAGCTCGTCTCCTGCGTTGTCTTCTTTGGGTGCATACCCTTTACCTATGCCAACTGCTGCCGTGGGGCATATCGTTTATCTCAAGCAGCAGAGCAAGAGAGCATTTGCAGTAATACGCACGTGTTAAAATAGTACAGGGTATCAAGGGGTTGCTAGACGCGGTTGCTTGAATTGTTGCATAATTGTTTGGGCAAGGACCGCAGATGGCCATCCGCATAAGCGAGTGTGCGTGTGTGTGTGTGTGGGTGTGTGGGTGTGTCTGTCTAGGCCACATTGCTGCAAATGAGCTGCTTGTGACAGCCACCGAGCTGAGTCGCCTATTGCGTCCTGTGAGTTTGGGGACTCGATGTGGCTAGAACAAATTTCTGCTCCTGCCGAGTTCTGTCTCATTCGTGCCACCTGCTGCTGTGACTAATTAAAAATTAGCAATAGCTGGCTAAAAAATTTGCCATTATACTTAAAGGCACTCCGCCTGGCAGCCGAAACGCAATTGGGGCCAATGCTGGCAGGAAGCTGCTCGGGTGGGGCGGTGGCTGGGGTCTCTCTCTGTCCTCTTGGGCTGCTTCCTCCGGGTGGGTGGCTGCCTTCTCTGGTTGGCTCCCGTAACTCGCTGTTTGTCGTAATCAGCTGAGCGAGCTAAACGCTTTAAGCACTCGGCGTGGCGTTGCCATGCTCCGGGATGCTCCTGGTCCCGAGCCTAGCTGACCCGGCCTCAGCCCAACATTTCGCTCAGTCTCCCTCTCGCTCTGTTTTCGTGCCGTTCCCCTCCCGGCTGCCTAGATTGCTGTTGCTTTTTTTAATAAGCTTGACGCGAGTCGAGAGCCAGCACCGAAAGCTGAAACGCCCACACTTGACATCGTTTGCTAACTGCCGAGAGCCAGCAAATGTTTCTCTCTATATGCCATACACACACACACACACACACACATGCAGCACATACACATGCAGAGGAAACTTGCATCGAAACGTTTGTGCCCGACTAGAAGAAACCCTGATAAAAGTCTGGCACGCCGCAGACAGAGGAATCGAAGCGAGGGTAGGCCAAAGCGTTGCTGATGTCGAAGATAAAAGTGGATATACATATATATGCATATATATAGGTTGCCCTAATCTAAGGTATGCAACATATTGAGACCTTATCGACTAGAGCAGCTTAGCCAGGCAGCTAAGATACCCGTTCGTCAGACCCGTTTTTAGGTGGTAGCTAAAACTTCCGACGATGCCTCTCAAATTGCCGCGCCGCTAACTTGGCAAATTTGCAGCACGGCAAAATTAGTTTGCATTAGTTTTTTCACCTTTTGAAAGCAGTGAACCCACTGCAAATGGGCAAATATACATACATGCAAACATACATTGTATATGGGTGGTTGTGGTTGGCAAATGTGGTTACGTATGTGGTCGGCGGGGAGTGCGGGAGTTTCTCTTGACATGCATACAGTTATCTCCAGCATCGTCTATCTCATGTACATACATACATGATGACAGTGACTATCGAAAGTAAGGCTACAGCAGTAATAATATTGGGGCTAATGCACGATGACACGGCAGACACAGCCTACAGGGTATCTGCACGCTGAGCAATCGCAGCCAGAGGCACTCCCGTGCTTCTCACATTAAATTGCCGCTTCTTGTCTGCGTCTCGATTGCTGCGATGCTTGACCCCTTGCACAATGTCCCATTCATTAGAGCAATCGTTTCAATTGATGGACTTGACAAACTGACAAAAACACTCTGGCATCAAATACACAAGGCCTTAAGCTAGCAGCTCAGTTTGCGGCTGTTGCTGGTTGGCTCTCCTGTTTCCCCTCTCTCTCTCTCTCTCTCTCTCTCTCTCTCGCTCTGCCCCCTCGATAGAGCAAAGAGTTGTCAGCCCAAACAGCAAATACAGCTTCGGTTCTATTAAGTGTTGACAGTTGCCTTTTGCTCTTAACTGTATCTGTTTCTTGGCCTCTGGCTATCAACTGAATTTACAAGTAATTGTGAAAGGCTTCCAGAGTTTGATATTAAATATAGATATAAAGCACGAACACGGCTGAAACTGAAGTTGATGGCCTAAGAGAAGGTCCTTAAAGCCAGTTGAGTGTCCCTCGATCTGGACCATAAATTACCATTGTCTGCCGCATGTCTAACTGTACTCAGGGTGCTTCTGCGATTGCTGAATAACCTAAATCTTTCTAATTAGCTGCAACTATTTGTCTGGCATGGCTCTTCAACACCTTCATCTGCAATTCAATTAGGTGCCGAAAATGAAATTGGAATTCATTAAGTCTATGCTTGTTTTTCTCTCCCTCTGCCCCTTTCCCCCCTCTCACTCTATCTCTCTCTCGCTTAAGCGTCGCGGTCTTAAAAGTTGACAGACAGAACGTCTCAGAGCCAAAATATTCCGTGCTCAGTTTCCAGTTCCGTTTACCGAGTGGGAAAACAGATGCCAAAGGCCAAACGAGAGAAGGGAAAGAGAGGGGAAAATGATGAGAAGGAAATGAGGGAATAGAGACGGAGCCAGAGCAGGAGAGTGGAGGAGGAGCAAGAGGTTAGCGCCTAGGGATTGAATGACAGCCAAAACAACCGCAGCCAGTCCTTTTGCAGTGTATAAAAGTTGAATGGGTTCGCGACGTTGTTTCTCTGCCCGCCCGTTGGACTAAAGCGAGTATATGCGTTTCATTAGAGACATTATTACATTCAACAGGCTTAGCTGAAACCACAGCTAACTACGTGGATTGTGTGAGCAGGTATAAGGCAGTCGGTAGAGCTCTCGACTCGTTAGCAGACCTACCTCAATCCTAGGGCTGTCCTCAATGTAATGTTGAAGATAGATTTGTTCATAAATCGATTTCAGTATCAAAAATATCGATTTTCGAGCTTAAGTGCTTCTTCAAGTTCAGAGTTTGGTCCCTTCCAAGAATCCCAGTGTCGAATGAGAGCGAGCATCGCGCAGTCGTTCAGGCTCATTTGTCGCATTGTAAGTGGTTCTTGCTCGCCTGACGACCGAAAAAACCGCCATTAAAATAACTTTTCAGCTGGCGAGGACGGCTGGACGGACCCGCTGAGTGGGTGGGTGGGCGCTCCAGGCTGGGCGTGGGCGGTCGAGCGGCTGGCGGTTGGCGGTTGGCTTACTGTGCGCGACTGCTCTGGTCTGGCCAAGTGGCAGCCAGCAGTTTTCACAGCAGTCACACAGCCTACGGCGGGGCAACTTTTCAAATTTAGCCGCTTGGAAGAAAAGCAGAAAGAAGGAAAATCATCAGCACCGTCCTGCCTACGAAACAGAAAATCTTCTCAATGGCAGCCACTGCGTATACATAATGTGCTCAGCGTACCATTGTTTCTGTTGTCGTTGTTGTTGTCATGCCCGACACTTAGCGTGTGTGTATGTGTGTGTGTGTGTGTGCACAGTAGATACGTGCATACATTTAGTGTGGATTACAAAATGTGAAGTAAGCTGTAAGCAAAACTTTTAACTTGCCAAAGGGAGCTGAAGGGCTTCCTGCTTCGAGACCATCCCAAATTCCATATGGGATGCGACATAAGTCAAGCTAAGCTGCCACAGCTGATGAGCAAAGGCAGGGCAGGGTAACAGCTAGCTGAGCATACCCCAGTTGTTCGTTCAGTTTGGCATGGCAGTGTGAATCGTTGCTGCTGAGCTACAGGTTGGCTATATCCAAGCAACATTTATATACATTGATATGCAAATGGGAAGGGTATTCACTAGTCGAGCAACGCCTCTGCTTGCACTGTTTTCCCGCTGCTTTGTTGGCGTGAAATCAAATTTGGCCGTCGCGTTGCCTCGTGGCCGAGTCGTAGGGCTCATTGTTCGGCTCATTCGGGCCATTTAACAGTTGAGCTCTAATTGTTAACACACGCGCACACACACATGTATACACACTAAGCGACTCACACACACACACGCACGCACACACGTGTAGAGCTCAACTTGCGCTGAAAACTTTAAAGGTTTTCTACAAAAACTTTTCTTTCACAATTTTTGTTTTGTTTTTCTTTTCTGTTTGTGTGTTTCCTTTGTTCTCCTTTGTGTTTCTTATTCGCTGTTGCCTGTTGTTCACTCTAATTACTTGATGTATGTATGTTCTTTATATTGCATGTTGTTAAAATCGTTAGCGAAAAGCGAAAAGCGACAAGTGAAAAGGCGAAAAACTATCGAAACAGTCTCAAAAGAAACAAGAAAATAGACCGAAAACGCAATTGAAAAATGGACACGAAATTGGCGCAGGGTCAGTTTCCGGCCACGTTCCCGGAGACATTCAAGAATTTCTTCGAGATGATGAACGAGGACGAGGATCACGTTGAGCTCTTTGCCAACCTGCTGGAGGATAAGGTACAGACGAAAGTCGAAAGGTTCCCAGAAATCTAAGCCCAGCCGCAGCCTCGACAGCATTCCCATTGCATTCCCATCCATCCGCGTGGCGTCTACAGTCGATGCCCCCCTGTGGACAGCTTCTGACATAATCTCTCTGTTTGCTCTGTCTTTCGTTTCCGCACTAGGTGATACCGCGCAGGAGCCCAATGCATGCCCAGCGGCAGCGTTGCGGCGGGAGCCTGCGCAGCCATCTCAACCGGCGTGCTGGGCATGAGCACATCCAGGCTCAGATCCATGCGCAGAGCCAAGGTCGAGCGCAAGTCATACCTCCCACCCAGGATCAGATCCAGGAGCAGATGGCGAACCGCTCTCGCTCCCGCTCCCAGCAGATCCGCTACTCGTGGCAGCAGCCCGCTGCTGCGCAGCATCCGCATCCGCATCCGGTGGTCCGCGCGGCCCCACGGAGCCGCAGTGGCAGCAGCGGCGACATGAGCCGGTCCATGGGCGTGGATCAGGAGCTCGCCGCGAGCTCGGGCTACGCCCTAGGCCCACGAAGTCGCAGCCGCGGAATGCGGCGCAGGAGCGTGTCGGGCGTCGACGATCTGGGCGACTATGGCGGCGTGCTGAGCCACTGCTCCAGCACTGGCAGCAGCGTCGACAGCCTTGTCCACAGCCACAGCCAGCTGATGACGCGCAGCCCGAAGCACTCGACGTTGACCAGCCTCAACGTCAGCAATCGCGTGCCAAGACCCAACTCGGCCAAGATGCCGACCGATAGTCAGCAGCTGCCGTCGGCCGCTCCTGCTTTCCAGCATCAGCAGCAGCAGCAGCAGCTGGACCAGGATCATCTGCAGCGCCACCAGCAGACGCGCGACCTGCAAATGGAGTTGCACCAGCTGCGACTTGGACCCGACGGCGAGGACAACAGTGCCGGGCGTGCGCCCCAGAATTATGCGATGCCCCGCCTCCTGGCGGACAGCCCGAGGCACTCGCAGCCAAGGCACTCGGTCATACTGGAGCGATCATACGACTTTGGTAAGCTATTGCCATTAATAGAAGGCGAAAGAATGGTGAGAAATGTAAGAGAATGAATGGTGAGAGAGGTAGAAAGAGAAAAAGAGGGAGAGAGAGAGAGGGACAGTGGAGTGATGGAGATAAACACAAATGTAGAAGGAGAGCTGAGCAGAAGCAAGACAGAAGAGAAAGGGAGAGGAAGAACAGAGAGAGAAAGGGGAGAGAGAGAGAGAGAGAGAGAGAGAGAGAAAGAGGAAGAAGAGAGAGAGAAAGAGAGAGAGAAAGGGGAGAGAGAGAGAGAGAAAGAGGGAGAGAGAGAGTATACTGACTGGAATAGAAGAGAGAGAAAGGTGAGCGAAATACAAATAGAGGAGGATAGAAAAGCAAGCTGGAGAAATATAGGGGAAGAAGACACTCAGCTACAGCTATGTAGCTAGACGGATGCATGTACATATATAAAGAGAGAGATAGAGTGGGGGAGAGAGAGACAGATGGAATTCGGCGCCTTAACGGCAAGCAGGTTAATTAGGAATCGGATGCCTTATTACGGCAAGTGACAGCTAAAAAGTTTCAATGTGTGTTGTCAGCTCTTCTGTGATGTGTGTGCGTGCGTGTGTGTGGGTGTAGAACAACATGTCGTGCATGCAGGCACCACATTTTCTATAGCTTGTCTGCGGGAATCCCAGGCAGCAAAGCGCACACACAGCGCTGGCGACAAGCTGCATACACATTCACACTCTTACAGTCACACACTTACATGCGCACACACATACATATGTATATGCTTAATTAATGGCTGGCGAAAACAATAAAAATTGTTGAGCTTGAGCCGATTTCTGGCTGTGGCACAGCTGTGCGTCGGGTCTCCAGGTGGATGCCCCATTCATATTTCAATTAAAATTTCCCAATACACATACAGAAGCCCACACACACACACCCACACACCCACGCACCCACGCACACAAACACAGCCATTGATATTGAGAATTTTGTGGCAATTCCCTGTGCTGCCTGCTTTGGGGCGCCTGGATGTTGCCCCATCAGAAGGGCATAATGCGTATTAAGTTCTCATATAGGGCGAAGAAACAACCAAAGAAGGAGAGGGGGTAAGACAGTGAGGAGGGGAGTGGGAGGAATGTTAGGGGGCGGGGCTGACATCATCTGGTGGCATAAAGCGCAAGTTAGACATCAACTTTAAACAAGTACCAAATGAACAGTGAACAAACAAAAAAAACAACACCAAAGTGCAAAGCGACAACTGCAACAACAACAACAACAATGAGAACATGTTGCAGGAATAAAAAAGGTTACAACAGCTCAGTGAGCTCAGAGCTGAGCCCAAAAAGAGTCAAAGCGTTTTGTTTTTTTTTTTTTTTTTTTGAGGGTCGACTTTACAAGCGGACAACGAAATACTTCCAACAAATAAAAGCAAGGGAGATAGCGCGAAAATAGCAACAAGCGAAGGGCATGCTGCCGTTGTGTATACCCTGTGAGTATACCCTGTAGAGAGGCAGAGAGACGTTGAATAAGAGTGAGTTAGTGAGAGGAGGGAGTGATTGGAATATCTGCGGCACTTCGATGACATATTAATCCACAGATATTTATCAATAGCTATCGATATTTCGCACTGGAAACTGATAGCTAAAAAGTTGATGTGTATACTATATATATAATGCCTTTTACTTGCTGCAATTTTTAATTGTGCTATTATAAAACGTGATAAGTATTTAGATAATTATCGATTAATTGCTACACAAATTATATATATATAAATACTAAAAGAAGAACTAAGCTTTTCAATCAAGTTAGTTACTCTGTGATAATAAACGCGCGACAATCGCTATCGAAATGTATCGATTTTCTTAATTTTATAGTAATCGATTTGATTAAAGCCTTGATTTTGATTTGAGTGTTGCATTTCCTCTCAACTGTTGCGGGCGTAAGAAGACCTTCAGCACGAGGCAGGGCAAACAGGGTATGCAGGGTACGAGAAGGACCCTTGAAATGTACTTCAGCTACGTGGGCGCTACACAGACAGAGATACAGGCAGGGCATCGGTTAATCGGATCACAAGGCAGACGGGCAGAGCATCGATGCCCATCGGAAAGTGAAGGCTTAGGTTAGGCAAAAACATATTATTAAATGCACGTAATTCGCTCGATAAACAGCGACAAGAGTTCACTTAATTATAGAAGAATGAAACCGCATAGACTACCCAATGCCCTGAGCTATACCTATATACGTCTGCCATCGGCGGACTTCAATTAAACAAATGGCTGAAAGGGTTCTTCAAACAATCTCACTGGACACTTTACAGGGTATTCGAATATGCTTAACACAAACATTTCATTACTATTTAGTCTGGTTGAGTCCTCGAGTGCTTTTCAGCAACTTTTCATTGATTGAATTGATTTGTCGCACTGATTGGATTGGTTGGGGCTACCCAATGTACGCGTCTCCCACGCTTCTCTAATCCCATTAGGAACATTTTTAGAATTGATGTCAAAGCTCAGTCATTAAATTAATATGGCTCGTGTCACTCTTAAGCGGCTTTCGGATGGAAACAAATTAATAATTCACGAAATGAATGTTTGTTCGAGGAAACAAGCGAATAATTGAGTGAACGACCCAATGAATGAGTGACTATGAAGCAATGATTGCTCTTTGAGGGTACAAATGAATAAATGTGTGAGCGAGTGTGTGAGTGGGTGGGTGAGTGAGTGAATAACTATGCCAAGCAATGAGTGAATGAGCGAAAAAAAATGCTATTTGTGGGCCCAAATGACTAAATGAGTGAATGATTGAATGAGGGAGTGAATGGCTAGAACAAGCAATGAATGAATGACTATATGAAGAAATGAATGAGTAAGCGAATAAATGATCTTTGCGAACTCCAAAGGATTAAATGAGTAAGTGAATGACTATGTGAAAAAATGAATGAGTGAGTAAATGCAATGAATGACTCAATTAGTGAATCAATTTGTCAATTGCTCAGTCAATCAATGAATAAATAAAGTGATGCATAATATACCCTCTATTCTTATATGGATGCTATAAACATCCGATTCTTTCTCCGGTTTTATGATAACCGTTATTCGTTTACTTAAAGAGCAAAACTAATAAAATCGTACTTTTCAATGTGCGCATCCTTTAGGCTGAACACACACAAAGCCTGAAGTTTATTGCGTAGCACGACTGATATATACCCTATACTCTTTTCATTGAACTAAAGATATGTATATGTAATGTGCCTGGGGTAAAGGAAACTGTGTTTCATCCATTCTAACTAAGCTATGCAGTAAACAGATGCCACACCCACACACATACGCACCCACACACACACACACACACACACACACACACTTATACACATGTGCAGTGAAGTCTTTGAAATATGTAGGCAGGCCATTTTTCGGTCTGAAAACGTACTCATATTTGACTTTGGCTTGACTTTGACTTCGATTAAGGTAACATACCGCTGCGCCTGTGTGTGTTTGGGTGTGTGTCGCTCAGGTGTAGCTCCGACCTGGGTCACAAAGCGTCGGATTCCATAGCACAGAAAGGGACCAAGAGTCGGGACCATAAAAGCCACTCTGAACAGCAGCCAAAGGCAGCCGCTGCCTCAGTGTGAGCCATGCCTTTTAGCAGCTGGTCAGCATTAATTTATGACTAGCTCTGTGTGAGTGTGTGTGTGAGTGTGTGTGTGTGAGTGTGAGTCGCAGTGGGTGCAACGTCTGCCTGAGTTTGGCTCTGTGCAGCTACGCAATTGGAGCAGAGCCAGAGGCAAATGGGCAGACTTAATCGAGTAATTATTTATGGAATTGTTCAGTGACCAGCTCCATGGAGAGAACCACACGAAATGAGCTAGTTCGGCGAGCATTTAATGATGCAGCTTATCAGAAATGCCCGTCATTATAGCCCGAGCTAGTTCAGTTCTTATGGCATTCTCGATAGATGGGCGGCAGGGCAGGGCAGGAGTCGAGTCGGCTCGAATGGGCAGCATTGAATGGGGCGTTGGCCCCGTTGCCAAGCGAGGCACAAAGGACAAGCTCGCATATTTTTCGTAGTTTCATGGAATTCCCGTTGGCTTTCTTGTTGCAGATGCCAGCTTTGACGGCAGCGATGGAACCGTGCCCTCACCAGCCCCCCAGCAGCTGGCCTACAATGTGCTCCGGCCGATACTGAAGTCGCAGCAGCACCAGACCCAGCAGCAGCAGCAACAAGAGCAGCAGAAGCTGCAGCACTTGCAGCAGTTGCAGAATGTGCAGCAAATGCAGCAGCAGCAGTTGCAGCTGCAGCAGCAGCAACAGATGCAGCTGCAGCAGCAGCAACAGCATCAGCTGCAGATCCAGCTGCAGCAGCAACAACAGCAGCTGCAACAGCAAATACAACAGCAGCAACAACAGCTGCAGCAGCAACAGCAACAACAGCAGCAGCAGCAGCAACAGCAGCAACAGCAACAGTTGCCTCCGCTATCCCAGCAGCCGAGCACATCGGCCCAGGCCCATTTGCACCGCATATTGCCGATACCGCCCGTGGCACAGAGTAGCTACCAGCGCATGCAGCACAGCCGCGGCAACTTGCAGGGCGCAGTGCAGCGCAACGCGAGCGCCGGCAGCTCGACAGCTGGCTACAGCTACAGCATGCAGGCCCAGCAGTCGCAGCAATATGAGCTGGCCGAGCAGCCGGAGCAGCAGCAGTACTATGCGGGCTACAGCCGGGCGTACGGCTCGCAGGGGCTGCACGGCGAAGGCCATTGGCGCGACGAGGAGCCGACCTCCTCGGCTGCAATGGCGGCGGACTCAATGCACAGCACCTACCAGGATTTTCTGCAGGCGGCTCCGGATCCAGGACCGGGAGCGGGGCCGGTATGTAAACACCCATCATCCTAGCTGGATCGATGGATCAGAGCTCGTTTGTCTGTTTGCTTATCGTGCTGTCCCTCAGTCCCGTAGCTCGTCTCTCAGCTCATGCGTGCATTTATTCCATCTATCCTCTATCAGTCCTTCAGTATAGATCCTATATAGACCTATATAGAAAGAAAATACCATATCTTGCCATATGTTACATTTCGATAATATATTAATGCATCTCTCGCTACTTTTTGTCCTTGCAGCCCAGCATGAGAATGCAGAGGTCACCAAATATGAATAGACGCAGAAGCTCCTCGATTGCAACTGGCGTGCTGCACGGCGATCATGGCTACGGCTATGCCAACGACAACAAAAGTTTCGCCGCCGAGCAACAACAACAGCAGCAGCAGCAGCCAGAAGAGGAGCACGTGGAGGAGGTGGAGGAGTTGTTTGCGTTCCCCAACAACAGCAACAGGTAGGGGGAATTAGACATCCATGTCCCTGACCTGAAGTTTATCTGTAGCTTCGCTGAATTGTCACTGCGACAGCAACAATTGCAGATGCAACTGCAGCAGCTGCAGCTACTTAGCTTAGTAGCCTTAGCCTTAGCCAATTATCGATTGTGCAAACCTTATATCGATTGCAGAAAATGATTTAAGCCCGGTTCCCAAATACAAATAGCCTAAGTTATCTAGTGTTTTTTATTATTAAATTCAAAATTCTTATTTAACAGTTTCAAGTTATTCGGCTACTTCTAGTTTTTTTTTTCGATTTTTTATTTACATGTTTATCGATTGCTTTTTGATGTTTAAGTTTCTATAGATTTTTCTTCATCCAAGAATTTAATATATAAATATATAAGTTTTGCAAAGGCATTATTTTGTCCGTAATTGAATTTCTTCTGAAAGCTCTGAAGACATGGCCTTCAGCTGCCGCCCAGCTTTTAGTTGCAGTCCTTTGGCTATTTGTCCGTCCGCTTTTTCTTTGTTTTTCTTTGTTGCTTGAACTTGAAGGAAACGCGGATAAAATTGAATAAGCCTTAAGTAGAGCAGCTCCGCGACTTTTCACGTGGAATCAACGCAATGCGATCGCCGCCCTGGGTCAATTTTGCTGCGATGGGCTGGCAGGCTAATTATCGATTGTCAAGGCAATATATTTAAAGCACTCATGCTTCACACTCTGATTGCAGGGAGCGGATGGCGCTGGCCAAGTCCCCGCTTGGTCGGGCCATCGAGAGCGGCGTGCTGACCTTCCATCAGGCGATGAGCGGTGCGGTGTCGCCCCAGTACGCCGGAGTAGTCACAGGAGTCGGAGCAGGAGCTGGAGTGGGCTCGGGTGCCAGCAGTCAGTTGCCAGTGAACGAGCTGGACAAGTGCCGCCTCGGCTCCAGCTCAGCCTTGGCGGCTGTGGCCGAGCACACAGCGGAGACAGCGGAGACAGCGGAGACAGCAGCAGCAGCAACGTCGTCTGGCGGCGCCAACGCCACCAGCTCGACCACGGCCGGTTCCAGTGACGAGGTTCAGTCGCCCGTCGCCAACAGCAGGGCGCTGCAGCAGCAGTATCACTCGGTCAACAGCAATCAGCAGCGCGAGCGGGGCGTGGGCGAGTCAGCGGCCAGCGTGGCCTATGGTAGCTCGGCTACCATAGCCGTGGCCGTGCACATGTCGGAGCGGCAACGTCTACGGACGTCCAGCATGCCGGCAGAGAGTCGCAAGGTGAGTATGCTCAGAGGTGTTTGTCCATAAGCCAGTTTGCTATCACTGAAGAGCTTAATTAGCTAGCTAAGTATTTTTACTAAATAATTACCAGAAGACGCTTAATAATTGCTTTAATTCCACTTAAGTACGGCCTTAATTACTTACGTAATTAATCAGCAATTAGATCTAATGATACCCTTAGAATATTATCTGGTAGGTCTATGTCAAGTGATCCCTAAAATTACATGTGATTACCTACCAGAATAGCTATTAGAAGCTAGATTTTACGTTTGCTGACGATGGAATGGCTTAATACTTGGCTCAATTACTTTAATTACTCTGGCAATTACTTATGTGATTGCCTTCTATTGCAATCGATTGGGCGTATTTTCAAGGAACTGCCCCAGCAACTCTATGTGCAGGCATTTATCTGAGTCAAATGAATGCGCGACAATTCAATACCTGGAATCGCCCAACACCTTTTGATTTGTTGCTAATAAGCCAATTCCCAAATTCCCACGACTCAGCTCTGGGCTCTTTGAGTCTGACTGCCATCAAAGCAGCTGATGACATTGAACGACAGTTGCTTTGCTTTGTATGCGACGCAGAGAGTGAAAACGACTTGAAAAGCCAATTCGTTCAGATTAGAGTATACAGACAGAGACAGAGAGAGACAGAGAGAGAGAGAGAAACAGAGAGACAGAGGGGTCGGTTGATGCTTTAGCTTATCATATTAGCTAGATAGTAATTTTGAATCCACGTCTTGCTTCTCTTCTGTGTATGTGTGTGGTTTTCAGAGGGGAGGTTTTCAGTATGGTATCTGCTAGTCGGGCACTCCCCACTAGAGCGCACTACTCCTTTGTTCTTGCTTTTCGGGACATGCACATGAGATAAAACTTGCCCTAGGGATTCGGTGGCAACATACATAAGTACGAAAGAACACGCCAGCCTATCTTGTTAATATGAAAGAACACTCATACACACACACACACACACACACACACCCACACACACACAGTAACCCTAGCGCTTCAGCTGAACATATTGCCAAACAAAAATGAGGGAAAAAGCGGGAATTACTTGAAAGCCCAAAGGCTAGCGGATTCAATCCCAGCTGTGGCTCTGCCCGAGCTGCAATTGTGAATTGCTGGAAATGCACGCTGTGTGCACAAAGACAAACACACAGACAGCCCCATGGCACCTCCCCCTAGGCAGTCCCCCTGGCAGCTCCCTGGTTGCCCCGCCCGGATGGAAGTTGCAGCTGCCGCTGGGTGGAAGCGTAGCAGCGCGGCAATAGACAAGCTTCTACCTGTCTATGTGTGCGTGTGCGTGTGCGTGTGTGTGTGTGTGTGTGTGTGTGTGTGGGCGTATAGGCGTGGCACACACAGAATCACTCTTGACATTCTTTTGACTGCAGCGAGTGCAGCTTTTATTTTGTTGCTCTGCCTGGCGACGTGCTTTTGCCATTGATTCGATTCTTTTTCTCTTTTATTTGCGCTGTGGCCTGCAGCCGTCAGTCCCCCCACCCCCCCACCCCCCACCCCCCACTCCCCGGAGGGCAGGCGGCCAAACGGCTGGCGCTGGTGCTGGTGGTGTCGGCTTGCCAGCTGTCGTTAAACATGTTTTGCCATTCGAAGCCACGAAAATTTCATATGCAAACAACAACTTTTCCGACTCAATTGCCAGACAGAAGTCAGCTGAGTCAGGCAGGAGTAAGGGCCTGGCGTCGGGCTGTCCGTTTTTGGGGCACTGCAAGCTAAGCGGGCCAACAGGACAATCAACTCAGTCCCAGCCAGCACGCCTGCCACGTCCCACGCCCCACGCCCCTTAGGGCGGCTGCAGCTGAGTTTTCAGTTTGTGTTGCCTACTTTTGTGCGCGAGAGGGAAAACTAATTACATTAGCGCTGCAGCGACTAGATAAGTGCAAGCCGGATAAATTCCCCCAGCGAGTTCGAGAGCAGGAGTGTGTGTGTGCAAGTGTGTGCGTGTGTGCGTGTGTGTGTATACACAAAGTATGTGGAGCAACAGGAAGGCAAAGGCTGCCAAAGTAGGATGTGAAACGGTGCGCGTTAGTTAGTTGCCATAGTCCTAACCATAAATCCAAGTTAATGACTGGTATACACACACACACACACACGCACATTTATACATACACACACATAGACATTCTTTGAATGCAAACAAAAATGAAAAAGAAAAGAAGGAAGAGTGAAATGTAAAAACTTTAGTTTCGCTAAGAATACCCACAAGAGAGTCGCACACCCACACACACCAGCGAGCACACACACGCATGCACGCACACATATTATATATTTATACATGCTTTATGTCTGGCTGAATGCTCTACGCACCGGCCGCGCCGCCAGTCCAACGAGTCGAGAGGCTCGCGCGTCCCTGCCAATTGACAGTTTGCTTCGTCATGCCCGATGGTTGGCATAGCAGCTGCCCCAAAACAATCAAGGGCATAGCAGCCGGTATACATCGCTGTCAGGTCGTCCCCCCACTCCCCCACTCCACCACTCCACCACTCTCGCACTGCTTAATACACACACTAAAACACATAAGCGAACTGACAGCAAAGAAAAATACAAATTTGAGTTCTTTATCGCATTTCTCGTTTTCAATGAAAACACGCAGCAAGAACAAGATGAAGGAGAAGCAGGAGAGGAGGAGTAAGAAAATCTTTGGTATATGTTAATGCTCGTTCACTTGATGCTAAAGAGAGTCGATTGGCTTGTCCAGACTTGATATACGCATATACATATATTCCTAAAGAGCCTCATTCTTAGAGGGGCGTGGTAGACTGTGTACAATAATATATGTATGCAGTCTAAATACCGAAACTGAACAGTTTGTCTTGCTACCTGAACGAGTATTAAGCAGTCAGTAGGACTCGACTGCCACGTTAATATTTGTTTTGGTTTACTTTTGACTCGCACATTGTGAAAATTTTAATACGCCTGAGCGAGCTTTTATATACACCTTATATATGTATTACCATCATGAATATCTTTCCATAATATATAGCTATATATGACTTTGAGATCTTAGGATCTAAGTATACAACATTTCTCATACATTGTTCTTGTAAATAAATCCATTTAGTTACTTTTTTATGGAGAGTATACTTTTGAATAGATATATATATTGTGTAGCTCTAATCAGAGGGACTTGACATGGACTTAAGAGAAACGTTTAAATGCAACTCAAAGCAGCTTTGAAATAAACTCATTAAAGACTTTGCGCTATAATTAAATTGGCTAAGGCTGGAGATGTACGTAAGATCTGAAAACAGTTGTGCAGTAAGAAGGAAATAGAGAGAGAGATAAAAGATGAGGGAAAAGTTGTAAGCGAGAATTGAAAAGTCTATAAATGAAAGTTCAGTAAATGGACTAGAGATAGGACATAGCGATAAATGAATACTGAGAGCGTGTTTGAGCTTGTAGTGAATGTGCACCTGTTGCACACCTGTTGCACCTCTTGCAGCCTCGCCTGGCGGACACGCGTCGCTCGGCGATTCACTGTGGCGCGGATGTCGAAATGGATTATTATCGCTTGCGCAGCTTCAGCATTACATCGCATGGCGTTTGCAATCTGGGCGATTCATTACGGTAAGTGGGTGTGCCATGCACACACACTCACAGACACACACACACAAACGACAAGCAACTCGCTCTGACATGTGCCTTCTTACTGAATTTAAATTCAAATTGTCTTCAACAGCAGCCGCAGGTCACGTTCCATCAATTCTGTGACATCCAATGGCACCTCGAACAGCGGCAAGGATCGACACAATAGGTGAGTGAGACAAAAGAGAAAGAGAGAGACATATATATATAGTAAAAGTGCACGTCTTTCAGCGTGCCATGAATTATTCGTTCAATTGAACTTATGAGTAAAATAAAAAAGTTTTTACAAGTGAACTGAATATCGATATGAACTAGAATTTCAGTATTAAGTTCAATTGAACGACCTAATCAAATTGAGTTGCTGAACTAGTTTAGAGATGCTATATGAGAGCTGATTTGCAATAATAAGCTCAATAGAACGACTTAATCAAAATGAATTTCTGAACTAGTTCATTAGTAAGTGAGAGATGTTCGCTCTAGTAGCCCTAGTTCTATTGAGTTCTCAATATGAATAGTTTTGAATCAATATATCGTTCACAAGGTTGACTTCTTGTTGTTGTTCTTGTTCAACAAAATGAACCAGCTCATTTTGTCATTCCCTTTCGCATAAAATGCTGTCGCCTACATTTGTGGGCTGCTCGGAGCTCGACCTGAATTTTTCGATGCCAGACTCGATTGTCGGTTGTTGTATTGCTCATGAGCTGAACTAGTGTGTGAAATGAACAATTGAATTGGCTCATCAAAAGGAACCGGAATGAGCAACTCTTGTTGACTCCAACTGTCAGCCAGCAGACGCAATAAATTGTTTATAAGAATGTTCACAATAAACCATCGACAACAATGACAGTGACATACACACATACATACACACACACATACACACACAAGCACACACCTTTACACAGACTTTTACCAATTTCATATATCTTTTCCATACGCTCGAACATTTTTCGTACAATTCTTCTTCTTCTGCCCCTTCGTCTTCCTCTTCTTCCTTTTTATTATGCGCTGCTTCGCTCTTTTATTATTGTTATTATTTTTTATTTTTTTTTTGTATTATTTTTGTTGTTGCGAGCTGTACAAACGCATTCTCAAAGAAAATTCCAGTCTTTATTATTGTTGTTTACTCGGCAACGGCGACGGCGACGTCGGCAGCCACGCGCCCCCTGCTTAGCCCCACCAAGGCTTATTATTGTTATTAGATGAGGCTAGGCCTCTGCTGGCAGTAAAATTATAAAATCGTAAAGTCGTAAAATCTAATTCCCCAGCTGTTTGTGTAAATAGCCGAAATGGCAATAAATACGCTCGCTGAGAAAGCCAAGCGTCGTCAACAACAGTTATTCGGCTACTCAAGAGTCGCATCTGTAAGTGAGAAGATTGACTGCCTAGGAGAGCATTACTAAAAGTGTGAGCAATGCTCCGTGATTGAATCGTACATGTTACTCAACTCGAAGCCACTCTGCACCTCTATAAACAGCGGAGAGCAATCAAATTTGATTGCCTAGTTGAAGCTTTGAGTTACTTGAGTTGGAAGTCGGAGTCGTTGCTATGAGGCCATGATTGAACAGGAGATTATCTTAAGGAATAGGTGTTCAGTCACATTTGATTGACATGATTGATGATGGCACTAATTGGTTTCTCCTCTTGGTCTGCTTTCCATGCTTAGCAATGCGTCGGCCGACATCCCGGAGGCAGAGGCGAGCAACATCCAGCCGCACTCGCAGAGGCCCAACGGGGAGCAGGTTCCGGCGTACAAAATCGCCATGCTGGGCGGATCCGGAGTGGGCAAGACAACGCTGACATATCAGTTCACCACGTCGGACTACATCTGCGCCTACGATCTGAGCCTGGGTAAGTGCCAAGTGGGACACGTGTGCTAAACGACATCATTTAGACTAATGTGGGGGCTTTTGGCCCTTTGCCCGTATCAAAGACGGTTTGAGCGTGGGTTTGTGCTCGGGTTCGGGTCCGGGTTCGAGTTCGGGTTCGGGTTCGGGACTGTGGCTTTTAATCAAACGCATTTGCATTTTAATTATGCCACAAACTCATAAAATATGAAAAGCGTCGCTGCTAATTTCATTAACTTTGCCAAGGGCGCGCCGGGTAAGCAGCCAGGTAAGGCCAGGTGAGACGTTCCTGCTCCTCCTTGAGCTCTGTTTGCGGTCCGCGGGCTTGCTTCTCGCCTGACTTGTGATCCATAATGGATGTTATTAAAAGGATTTTCCATATCCAGCAATGAATGGGCCAACAATGGCGTGCAACACGTGGCCCCTATTAGCTCATGGCTCGGTTCGCGCTGCGCTATTCCGGGTCGCCGCTCGCATGTATGAGTTATCTCGGGGCAGTGGGGCATACCAGCAAGGCTTAGACTAAACGAGCAGCCGAGAGCATGTGGCAAGTGCGAAGCTACTTAATGCATCTGAAGGACACTGCGGGCTCAGCTAGTCAAAACGGAATCGTTTTCATAGTGTGTGTGCATACGAAATGGAACATGGGAAATAGCAAGTGGCAAATGGAAAATGGCATATGGCAAATGGGAGTTGGCATAACAAATTAGAGTCTCTGGGTCTCAGAGTCTGCCTGGCAGACTTGCAGTGCGTAGCAAGGATTCATTTTAAAGCTCTGCATGCTGAATTGGCATTTTAATAAGTCTGAAAGCTTTCGACTTAAGCTAGAAATGGAGTATACGGGAAGAGTTGTCTATGACGTTCCTCTGTAAAGTCAGCCCAAGTCAGGGTAGCTTAGTCCCTCGTTCTTAAGGCTTTTCAGCTAGAACTCCGCAGTCTCAAGAAGAGAAAAGAGTATATACTTTACTCCATATACTCTACACATTTCACATACTCAGTGAAATTGGGTTCGAGCTGCAGGACTTGAGTGCGACGGGTGTCCTGATTCCGTGGCTTGAAATTGGTTTTCCATTAGTAGTGGGATTTGGGGCACTGCGTGTCCAGTTCGCACTCCGCTGAGGATTGAGAGTGGGCGACCTGAGCAAATCTAGAGAAACAGAAGGAGGGAGAGGAGAAGTGGATGAGGGCGCAGCCATTAGCTTAATCTTGCTAGCTGCATGATATATGCGACTTGCGTGCGGCAGCAATAGCAGCAGGAGCAGCAGGAGCAGGAGCAGGAGAAGCAGCAGTTGGGTTGAAGGAGACGAGAAGGCTTAGCTAAATGAAAGAGTGAAAAGTAAATGTGAATGTGAAAGCATAAATGCTGAGAGCATGAAAGCACGAGAGCTGCGAATGAAAATGGCGTAGGCTAGTCTAGAGGGGGGGGCGGCAGTCCGACTGAGGCACTGGGGCATGCAACATTTCTTTGCACGCTGCAACGGAGCGCGTCGCATCGCAGGAAACAAAATAAAATTCACCAACTTTTAATTAGCACTTGAGTAAAAGAGCCGGCAAGAACAACTTTATATGTGCCACACGCAACTTTTATTGTCCTCCCCGCCCCCCTGGGAGCGCCCCACTGAAGGGGGCGTCGCCAAGCGTGGGCTATTGTTAGCATATGTTAAATGGCACATCAAACTGAACAACAGTAAAAGCACGAAACTAGCCATGGACTCGGTATACCCTGTTTTCACTGCATGGCAGGCATTGCCTGACCTGCGCACTCACTTGTCGGTTAATGATTGCATTTCATCCGAATAGCCTTTACGCATCAAAAGGTTTCTTCATTGCCTGATAGATTTTCTGATATCGATTAGTCTTAGAAGTGGTATCAGCATGTCGATCATAATCGATAAATATACTTTTCTACCTAGGCCAGCCTCTTCCGTTCTTCTTCTCTCCCTCGCTCCTCTCTCTTCTCTGTCTGCCTCTCTCCCTCTCTTTATGTCTCCCTCTCTCCCTCTGCGCGCTTTCGAATGCGACATCAAAGCAAAGCAAAAGTGCAGTAAACGAAATAAATAAGAAGCCATTCCCAAGCCAAAAGGAGGAGGGAGGCGGAGTAGAGAAAGGTAATTTCTCGCTCTTTATGAAACCTTTTTTATTGCCACCTTTGGCAAATGAAATGAAATCACACTGACTGCGCTTGTTATGCGGCTGCACGCCCCTTCAGCGAAATAACCAGCAGAAGCGATAAAAAAAGTAACACGAACTTCCGGATTGATGGACAGAGAGATACCCTGCAGAGCATACGATCTGAGCAGTGTTAAGAATGGAAATCATTTGAGCACACCTTGGGCACACCTTCACACACAATCTACTTTTCGAGATGAGCTTTAAGTGGAGTTCTTCTCTTGCAGTGTTGCCTAACGACGTGGAGCAGAACTTTGTCAAGTCTGTCAGATATCCAGATGCACTAATATTGTGCCAGCTGAGCTATAAAGTAAAGAAGTGCTGCAATGCAGTCAAGTAAACTACTTTGTTAAGTCCTCGCTCTGTTGGGACTTTTTTAGACTCTTAATAAAAATCAGTAGTGCTGAACTTTAAGTGGAATAAAGTCAAGTCTGTCACTCAGACTCACTGCACTCCCTTGCGAATAAGTGTTGTATAATCAATCAAGTTGTTCCTTAAACAATACTGAATTGAAAGCACTCGCTTCAAAATTAATGCCGAGTTTTCAACTGCACGGAATATGTGAATGTGCATCATCTCTCTCTCTCTCTCTCTCTATCTCTCTCTTTCTCACTGTCCAGCTGTCAGTGTTGGATTAATTAACTTAGATTCAAAACTTCATATGCAGGCAGCCTTGTGTCTGGCTGTTGGCTTGCAGTTTTGCTCCATTTATAGCTTCGCAGCTTTATAGCTTTCATTATCAGTGTTGCATAACGAACTAATTAGCATGCATCTGCGGCAATTTTAGCCCAGCCAGAGCCAGAGCCAGAGCCAGAGCTAGAGCCGAAACACCATGTAGCTGCAGGCGCATGCCAATCATGTGTCATGCAAATGGCTGCAGTCGATGCAATGTGCAGAACGAGATGAACGAATGCATGTGTGCGCACACACACATATAATTGTTTATTTGTATTACGTGGGCATAAACAAGGTATTACACAGCACTTGGCCGTAATCGCATTAGCTGAAATGGGCCGTGGCCCATTAGAGTGAAGTGAATGAAAGTGTTTGCACACTCTCAGCTCTCTCTCTCTCTATCTGTCTCTATCTGTCTATCTCCCTCTAGATGATGACTATGGACAGAAAACGGTCTCCGTGCTGGTCGACGACATTGAAACGGACTTGGAAATTATTGATCATCCGGCCTGCGAGATGTCGGTAAGTATCTGAATGCATTGCCCAGTTGACTGGGTCACGCACACACACACACACACATCCACTCTCTGGGGCAGCTGCTGCATTTGACACTTATTTTCAAATGTCATTAACACTGTTTTCCTTTATCGGCTGCCGCTCGACAGGCCAAAGCGCATTAGATTGAGGCAAACGTCTTGTTACATTGCATTGGCAGCCTTGCCAGCCAGTGCCCCTGTGTGTGTGTGCCTCTGTGTGTGTGTGTGTGTAAGGCAAAAAGTCAAGCGTAGCAATTGTGTTGCCTACTTTTGTGGGCAGCTTTAAGAGTGGCTTTCGTGCTAGATTCTATATATATTTTATATGCATAAACTGGCATTAGCTTTGGCTAGCAAACCTGAGACATATCTCAATTTATCTCTATGTGATAAGGAGCACTCTGTTAGCTTCTCCAGTTTGTTGCCTACTTTTGTGCGCTGACTGCAAGACGGAGCAGCCTCCATTTCGATTGCCTACTCACCTGCAGCGCGCCGCACACAAGCACAATTGCCACCTAACGGTAAACATAGAGGTGTATGCATGTGCACACACACAACAGAGCCTAGGGCTAGACAATTTGACAATTCGAACTAACTATCCCGCCTGGCGCCACTGATGCGCCTCGGTGAAATGTAGACTTCCTGCGATGTCTTCGCAAATACCAAGAGAATACCAAGAGAATCACAGAGCGTATTAGTTGGCCCTGCGGGGAAATTGTCATCAAAGATTTAGATTCCAATTGAGATTATATATTGAATTTCGTGTAATCGATGCACATATTTATACATATGTATGTATGTATGTATGTATGTATGTATGTACTCTCTATCTCTATCTCGTACTGCCATTTCTGTTGCATTTCTCATACAGACCGAGGCGTTCTGTGCCACGTACAACATTGACCTGTTCGTTGTGGTCTACTCCGTGGTAGACCGTGGCACCTTCAAGGCAGCCGAGAAGGTCCTGACCTACCTCAAGGAGAACGACATGCTGCTCACGCGCGGCGCCATCCTGGTGGCCAACAAAACGGATCTGGAGCGGCATCGCGAGGTGTCGCGCCAAGGTGAGTCCCGCAGCTGGCGATTCGTTTGCTATTCGCAGTAGCACGGCTTTCTCTTTGCAGTTGGGCGCAAGCTGGCCAAGGAGATCGCGTGCAAGTTCATCGAGACGTCGTCGGGCCTCGACCACAACGTGGACGAGCTGCTGGTGGGCATTGTCGCCCAGGTCAAGCTGAATCCGCAGCGCCTCTCGCTGCTGAGCGAGTACGACCTGCAGCGCCTGAACTTGCAGACGACGATACAGAAGCATCGGCGCATGCATCTGCCGGCCAGGCGGATGGTGCGCCAAATGAGCATCTTCAAGATGGAGGACGGCGAGGAGAAGGACGAGGATGACGGCGACGGCGACGGCGGCAACGACAACAACAAGGAGAACGTGAACGAGGACCAACAAAAGTCCCTGGAGGCAGTGAAGCGCGCCGCCAATCGACGCACCCTCAACCTCGAGTGCATTCTGAAGATGGGCGAGAGCGAGCTGGAGGAGGAGGAGAGCAACAGGCAAATGAGCAAATTCGAGCAGCTGGCCGCCAGCATGCGTCAGCGGCGCGCCCAGGACGAGCTGCAGCAGCAGCAGGCGGCCGACAGCAATGACAGCAAGCCATCGACGTCTGCGGCAGCTGCTGCGGCGGCGGCTGCTGCCAGGCGCGATTCGAATGCCAAGGGCGAGCTCGAGTCCGCCGCCTGCAACCGGAGAGTCGTGAACAAGCTAACCAAAGTGTTTCTCTCATCGGTGCTGCGCTTCAGGACAAACATGAAGCGACGCAACTCATCGAGCTGCACCAACTTGTTCGTCATCTAAGCGGGCGCGGGAGAGCTTTCGCGCGTGTGTGTGTGGGCGTGCGTGGGTGTGCGGCTGTGGATGGGTGTGCGTGTGTGCGTCTAGCTATATTGTTTATAAGCGAGGCTATAGACTGAGACTGATTGACTGACTTGGATTGGAGCGCAGCTAACGGGAGGAATGCTCGGGGTAGAAACAACGAAGAGTACAGTAAACAAAAACAATTATCAAAAGGGTATGCATGTATGCATGCATACCTATGCGGCATGTGAATAATCACTGAAACCAGAAGCATAAGATCAAAAGCAGAACGATTACAGCTCGATAATGGATCGATAACAGATCGATAACAATGATTTGATTGGAAAACTTTCTGAATTTAAGTCAATTTAAGACTAGCTGCTCTTGCAACATTTCAACCAAGAATTTCGCATAAAGTGACAATCGATAACGATATCGATAGACCTAAGATCTGCTCTCTTGTTCCTAGCCAGCTGTCAGCGACCATGGACAATAATTTATGCATTGAATACAAAGCTCAAAAAAAAAAAAAAAAAAAAAAAAAAAACAATTTTATCGATAAGCAAACATTTCGAAAAGAAAACAAAGAAAACAGTTTACCAAACACTAAATTCCAACAGTCTGGTAACGAGCTCCACAACTGCAAAAATTTGCTTATAGGGTATTTACGGTGATTGGCCCTCAGCCCAGATTGATTTGAGTATATGATTCGCTTTTCATAAGACTAAATTGTAAGTGTAAATCTCACATAGAGATTTTTTTTAGCTTGTAGACATGGTCAATGGACAAAATACCGCCAAGCAGATGGACAGACGGACAGCACTTTATCCGTTCAGCTCGGGTATATTTGAAAATTTCCTCTTTAAGAACTTTCACAATTTCAGACAATTCAATGAAAAGCGAAGAGTAAAGCTAACAGCAAGGCAAATAAAAGCAAATGGAGAGCTGAGCTGAGCCGGAATACCCTGTACGCAGTTCTGGTAGAGCATGCCAGGCTAATGGGCTGACAGCTTGCAATGGAGTTGAGAGAAGGGATTATGTTGATTTCGGTTACATTTTATGATTTTCCAAGACATTCTGGCTGAATGACCCAACCCGAAAATAGTTGAACCAAAAAACATAATTTAAAAAAAAAAAAAAACGTCATATAAATGTAAGATTACAGGAATCTTCAATTATCTATGTTAAAAGTTAATTCATATATGTATTTTCAATATTTCTCTATGTGTTGTGCTTAGAAAAAAATAACAAGAAAATCAAAAAATTTTAAAAAGTAAAGCGAACGAACTTAAAAAACAAACTCCACTGGAGAAAGCCACCCTACACCCCACAAATACACAGAGACTACAAAAAAACCAATGAGAATATGAAATACATTAGGAATGGGGGAAGGCCTAAGCAGTACCCCAAAATAGACAACTAAGCTACCACAAGTACTACCAAAACGGTGAAAAGAAAGGGGAAAAGCAAAAATTACTCTTGAATCATATTAAATAGATCTACGCGTTGAATATCACATAAGTAACACAAGTAACTACAAACAACATTCATCAAAGAGAGACGAACGATCCGAGGGTAACTCAAGGGGCAGTTGAGGAGCGAGACGGGATATTTAGTTGAGATTTTAAGTATGTATGATTCACTTTTTCTTGTCAAGATTACAGCGAGACCCCTTGCTCAATTCCTTCCTTATTTTGTTAACTCATCTTTTTTTATCCTATCTTATCCGTCCCTCTCATATCATTCTAGTCCCAACCTGCCTTACCTATATTTACGTACTCGATTTAATCCTGAATCATTTCATACTGCTTGTATTCTTGGCTTATCCCTAATCCACCTCATCCTAACTTATCTTAACTCCTTTTTCTGTTATCCAAGGTGAGGTAGAGGAATATAGGAATATAGCTGAGCTATAAAGAGTTACCGTTAGAGATGCTAATATACATACAAACATGTATATATATACATATATATATATATATATATGATCAACCGACCGATTAACACTTCAGAAACCGTAGAAAGCTGCGAAGCTGAAGAACGAAAGAGTAGAGGAAAAGGAACCTACGAATTGCATATAAACAATCCCAATTCACGCTTCATCAGTTACTGAACGCTGGAGAACTGGAGTACTAGAGATTCTCGGCTCTATGTAATACCTGGTATTGCTGGGGAAAGCGAGAAGGCGATAATTTTAGACAGTGAATAGGTGCGAGCTTCTGAAGTTAATTAGAGGTGACAAAGTCATCTCGAGGCATACATCAGAAGCTGTTACTTATTAGGGCAAGGAGTGGCTCAACTAAAGAGCGCGGGCGCGCGTGAGTGCGGAAGAGAGCGAGGAGGAGATGGGAGAGGCATCAATCATCTAGCATTCCATAGCCTGCTCTAAAGGCATTCACACCGGGTATCAAGGGAGAGGAGAGAGGAGGAGGAGAGGAAGAAAGAGAGAGCTGTTCGAGCAAGTCGCATACACACAACCACGACGAAACACACACGGGCACACCAAAATCAATGATAGATGACACGGAAATGAACTAGTCGAGTGAGCTAGTTCAAAAGAAAAAAATCAACAACACAACGAAGCAAGCGAAGCGCTTGAAACAGATCGAGAGAGGACATAAAGGACTTTTGAGTAGACTAATGCAGTTGCATCACACGGTACACGCACACACACATCAACACACACACACACACATACATACACACCAATAATAACATATCTAGTAGCATATCAAGACCCATACACGCTTTGCTTTGAACAGGGTATCTACAGGGCATCTGAGGACCATGAAGTCAGCAGGTGTCTAGACTATAGGCAGCTAAACATACCTGTACACACAGACACATACACTCACCCACACCCATACACACTCACAACTACACATATACATACCTCTGCACAGACCCGCTTAACTACAATTTCTATTATTTTTATACAAAAATTGAAGACAAAACCGAAACAAAAAAAAGAGACTGATTACAAATATTCCCATTCCAACTATTCTTAGAACACCTAGAGCTCTGACCAAATTTTCGTTTTGTCAATTTTTTTGGTATTACATTTTGACTAAGAATTTTCCCACGAATTTCCATATGCAAAAGCGTAGTGCATGATAGAGAAATATATATGTATTTATATAAGACGAAGATAGAAATATTTATATGTATATTTGAGCCAAGCGAAAGCACAGGATCATATATATATATATATATACATATATATATAAATTCATTCATAAATAGATATATACGGGATTTATTCGCTTCACATCTACATGTAGGTAAGACTTAAGATCGAAACTATATATCATTTCTTATTAGTTCTAGGTTGAATTTGGAATAGATTCATTTTGTGTTGTATGTATGTATATCGATAGTTATTTTCGTTTTAAAACAAAACTTTGATTTAGGAACTTCACAAACAAACAAATTTGACGCAAATGAAAACAAATTTGATTCGATATACGTACCTTTGGATACCAGATTTTGTAAAAATATACAACAATATTTAGAAAACTTTTTATAGATACGTAAGACTGTATACAAGTTATATTGCTTGAAGCTGTGCATTGAATATCTCCCATCCCAAGTGGAGGCTGCGAGACCTGTACAAAGTTTCAAAGTCGACCAACACCGACTGCTCAATGCTCGTTCAAATTAAAAGTGAACAAGTTCAAAATGATTTACAAGCTATATATATATATCGATATATCAGAGTCAATCTACACGTTCCATCCAAAAGAAGCTTTTTGTCACAGGGCCAGCCCACTGGGGACGGTTCAACGTTTTGGGATAAACATTAGCCAAACGACAAAGAGATCGTCGCGCAATTTAATATACAGACCGATAAGCATATCGATAGATCGATATACATATAGATAAACAGATCGGCTGCTGTTGGATTTATCGACAAATCGATTTCTTAGTCTGTATACACTGATTTAAGATGCACCAACGACCAATATACACTTATATACAAGGACTTACTCCAAAAACTAAGTGTTTTATCTCTTTATATAACATTTTATTTGATCTGAGTATTATCCCCTCTATGCCACTATTCAAAAACACAGATACATATATCTGAGTACCACATTATCTCCATATACTATATATATATACATATAAATACACACGAAATATACATGAACATATATATACAAATATATATTCCATATATATGCACAATATATGAATAACCAACATATAGAGAGAGTAGAACGATTGCAGATTTTTTTTAAATATTTTTGTATGGCACAAAGATTCCATTCAGAAATAATGCCCGCAAGACCAGATGCATACATATGTATATACATCTATACACATGCATATATGTGTGCATTTTGGAGCTAGTGAATTGTATGTTAGGCCATTGCAAAGGGATGCCGCCCCGACTGGGGATCGGGCAATCCACCCAGCTGGAAGTACCGCTCATTCAATCCAATTGAATGCCAAGTTTGCAATTTTCAACTAAATACAAATTACAAGTATATAATCCGTATTTTAATCCGTATTTAATCGTTTTAAAAGTTCTTATTAAATGTTAGCGAAAGCTAAATAAAACATCATTCCCAATTGCCTTTTTATTTGCTTGGGCGGGTTACTCTAGCTCCTCTGTTTTCAGGTGATCCACTTGGCATTTTCTTGTCCAATTGGAAGTCGACTCAATAGCTAACAAGGCGACAAAGAGGCAAGACTATGATTGATCAGATTTGCATGAATATGATTCGCCAATTGGAATATCGTTTCACAATTAGAACTGAAAGAAAGAGACAGCAGCAGAAGGTTCTTTTAGTTGCTACGATTGTTACGATCTATCATATTTGACTAAGTATGAGTCAATCGAGAGAAAACGGATGGCTAGAGAGAGCTCTGTCAGTATTGAGTGGCTGTGCATGTAGTCCTTGCAAGTAAGTAAGTCAATTAGTCAGTCATTCAGTCGTTTAATCAGTTGTGAGTTAGTCGATTCAAGTCACTGATTCACTTAGACACTCTTCAGTAAATCAGCCGATCTCTCTAATGAATCTGAATCAGAAACAGAATCTGGATCTAATCGAATTTGAATCTGAGCCCGAATCGAATATTCCACATAGTATGTTGACCTTTCTCCGAGTGTAACACAATCCGTTATCGACTTTCGTCTTGCTTCGAGATTGGGAATTCGTCCGTCCGCTCGTCTATCCGTCCGTCCGTTCGACCATTCCTCTGGGCAATTTAGAAAAAAACAAACTTGACTTTTGTTTTGCGAAATATTTATTTTCGTTTTAAATTTAAATAAATTAAATATAAATATAAATTTAGATGGGTAGATAGAAATGGATCTCTGGGCAGGGAGATATACGGCTTTCTGATAGATGGATTTCGTTTCTCGATTTGTCAATAAATAAATACATGTTTAAATTAATATATAGGGCAATGGGCAAAAGTATTCTTCATCTTCCACCCTTTACACTCCATTCGTAAATGAAAATAAAAATGATTCATGAATGGGAGAATTCTCCTTGCATTCTCCTTTCGTCACTCCATTCGTAAATGCAAATATTCGCGCATGCATAAATAATTAAAGTAAAGCAAAACTACAAACTAACTCCTGATACCAAATCCATCTGCTTCCTTCACTCTCCTCTCACTTCCTTCCCGTTTCCTCTTTGCTCAGTCCATTCGTAAACGAACGCACATAAAGCAATATCCTGCTCTTCGGCTTGCTCTCGCCCTTCTCATTCCCCTCTCTTCTCCTTTGTCCCCTCTTCCATCCGTAAACGCAGCTCAACGTTAATACAAGGTATTTACAGAGTTGCCAAGCATGTTGGCGTATTCCCGTTGGCCGCTCAATTGAAAAAATCCAGGATGCCGTTGAGCAGTTCGTAGGCGAAGTCGCCTTCTCCAGCTGCCGCATCGTTGGCTGCCTTCTTCTTCTTCTTGTTCTTTTTCGCCTTCTTCGACTTTTTGTTCTTGTTCGAGGTGGACGTGGACGTGGTCGTGGCCGTGGAGCTGCTGTCTTCGGCAGCCGCAACAGCCGGTGCAGCGGCAGCCTCTACTGCAGCTGCTACAGTCGCCGGGGCATCTGTTGCGGCGGGTGCTGCTGCTGCTGCTGCTACAACTGTGCCGGCTTCATCTTTGCTCTGCGCATCCATTTCGACATGCTCGCGTGTCGTCTGATCGGCAAGGGGCGTGGCAGCGGCAGCAACAGCTGGCTTCTTGATCGGCTTCTCATCCTCATCGTCGTCGAGCTCGTCAAGGAGGCCGCCCAGACTGAAGCCGCCGTAGTCCGCATCCTCTGGCGCTTCCGTATCATCGTCTTCGGCATAGTCGTCGGCATCGTCGTCCTCGGCAGAGGCACCTGTCGTCTCGCCATCGTCGTAGTCATCGTCCTCATCCTCATCCTCATCGTCGCCAGCTGCAAATGCAAGGATCAGACAGATAGAGAGAGGAAGAGGTTATCGAGCTAGTTCGTACTATATTGAAACTATTAGGAAACTAAATCAAGTTGAGGTGCGAATAGCAATCGGTAATCGATTGGAATGGGCCTAAGAATCGGAGTTGGAATCGCATTCTAAACTTAACAAAAGATGCTACGCGCTGTTTCACTCACCGCCAAAGCCAAAGATGTCGTCGTCGTCATCCTCCTCGGGCTTCTTCACCTTCGTGGGCAAAGGCTCAGCCTCGGCGACGCGCAGACCCTCGGAGCCAAACTTGAAGCAGGAGATGGGCAGCTGGGCCTCCAGCTCGTCATCAGAGCGCAGCTCGAAGGCCAGGCAAGCCTTGAAGTTCTCCTGGGCCCGCGACAGCCCGTAGACCCGGCCGCAGAACTTGGAGTAGCCGCCGGGCATGCTCACGCAAATGGGCCTGGCCCGCTTGCTGGAGATGCGGCGGGAGGCGAGCGTGATGTCGCCGAACTTGAGCGAGACGCTCATCTCGTCGTTGCCCAGGTAGGCGATCTTGGCACAGCCCGGTCCGCTCGGCAGCAGGGGCAGGCCGAACTTGCGGCAGCAATCGCAGTGGGACTCGGTGCACTTGCAGAACCTGCTGATTGGATTATCGTCCTGTTTCGTTGGCTTCGTTGGCTTTGGCTTTGGCTTGGCAACGGCCGCTTCCGTGACTGGAGCTGCAGCAGCAGCATCCGCGCTGGCTATCTCATTGGCGGCCTCGTCCACAGCCTCCGCAGCGTCTGCAGCGCCTGTGGCTGCGGCTGCGGTTGTGGCTGCGGCTGGTTCTGCAACTGTCTCGGCAGCGGCCTCGGCAACGGCGGTCTCCAGCTTCTGAGGCTCGGGCGGCGCCACATTTGGATCGATCTCCTCTGGCGGCAGGTCGAGTTGCTTGAAGTTCTCGGAGATCTTGTCTGTGCGGCGATTCAGGGTCTTCGACTCCACGGAGAGCAGCGCAGAGCCAACCAGCAGCATCAGCAGCAGGGGGCGAGCGAGGGCGTGAACCATCTTGAACTGCAATTGGAATGGTGGGAAACCAGTCGAATTAGACGGAGGATTCTCTCTCTCGATTTCAAATGATTCGTATAGCAATATTATATAATAGTTCCGGATTGAAGCAATTGCAATTCTCGATGCTAATGTTAAATATTCGTAATCCACATTGGTAAGAATAGGAAGAAAACTTCCTCTGGGAAATTTGTAGAAGCCATTTATACTTCGATAAACAGTTAAAATGCCCATTTATAACTGCAATTCGAGTTCGAATTTGGTGAACTAGATCAAATAGCATTAGAAAATCGTACTGCGAAGCGAGATCTCTCTCCAATTGGCGCTGCATTAGACTAAGCTCTGCGAATATATACATATAGGCGTAGGCGGGTGTTTCCCCCTCTTCATTTCGCACTAAATCCGAATTGAGGTTTCACCCGGAAAGTATTTCAAAGGTAAACAAAGATCTCAAAAAAAAAAAAAAAAAAAAAACAAATACAAAAAATTATGGCTTTCGATTAAATTTCACCGTTTCGACTTATTATTATTTTTTTTTTACGTCTCTCGCTTTTTTTTATTTTTCGCATGAGCTGCCGAAAGAAATGAATTTAAATAAATATTGACATAATTTCTTTAAACTTCCAATGGGCTTCGTGCTCTCTCGCACTCAAAGCCACAAAAAGAGCACGAGGAGGAGGGCGGGCGGGGCAGCGCACGAGTTTCAAAGTAAACAAATTAACAGCGCCATCTAGTAGCCAGCAGCAGCAGCATCAATCGAAGCCCGTATGCAAACACAAACGTGAAGAAATGAACAACAACAAAGTAGATCCAAAGACAAAAGACAAAAGCGAGAGTGAAATCTTAAAACGTCAACAACAACAACAACAATAACAGTAGCAACAGCAGCAACAACGGCAGCGACGCTGTGGCTGGCTGAGCTTACAGTTATTCAATTGACATATCGCTCGTTAGAATGAATCTCTCCCCCCTCTTTCAGGTAAACAGCAACAGCATGCTCTCACTCTCGCACACTTACATGCTCGCATGCTCACATGCTGCTCTCTTGTGAAGTCTTTTTGGGCGCCCACTTTGTGCGCTGGCAAAGTGAAATTTTTAGCGATTGACTCATTGGAAGCTACTCGACTTTTTCAAGTGGCCGTCGCGACGCCGGCGCAGAATAACGGCTCAAGCTACAGCTTCGATCTTGCTGAGAGTGTGTGTAGGTGAGAGAGGGAGAGAGAGCGCAAGCGGAATAGACATACTAGCTGCTAAGATTCGATCTACATTCACGCATCATTTAGCTATGCAATGCGTGAGAGCGAGCCGAAGATTTGTTGCGCTCACACGAGGGGCAGCTGAAAAGTTACCGAATCGCAGCCGACAAAGATTTGATATTAATTATGAAATACATTTCTTTCAGCAATTTAATTCGAATTAATATTTATTTGGCTATGCAATTCGTGATATTAATCATGAAATACATTTCTTTCAGCAATTTAATTCGAATTAATATTCATTTGGCTATGCAATTCGTGAGTGCAAGCTAAAGCTTTCTTATGCTTACTGGAGACTAGGCTAAAAAGTTGCCAAATCGCAAGCGAGCAAGGGTAAATTGATTTTCTATCGTATTAAATTTTTTTTATCAAATTTGCTTCCAATAGTGCTAAGTCACACACTTTTTGTACCACCCTCGCAATTATGTTCAGCTGTGGAAGGTCAGAGCAAAGCAACTGGAATTGCAGACAACTGTTGTTTGTAACCCACTTGTTGTTATTGTTGCTGTTGTTGCTGTAAACATATTAGTGGAAAGAAAGTATGTGACCAAATGCGGCAGCAACAAGTGGCAACAGCAACAGCAGCAGCAGCCCGATTGGCCAGCAGCTAGAATAACTGTAAAACTCTAAATGGTCATGGCCAATGGAATTCTAATTTGGGAATGGGGGAATGGGAATTTCGTTGTATTCTAACTGGACTTTTGGCCAAGTGGCCAGCAGCAGCAGTTGGCCAAGTTGCATTCGCTGCGTTTTCCAATTGGACACGCTCAACACTAGCATTTCGGATTGCATTGCCATGGGCAGCGTGAGGTGAGGCGAACTGCTCTTTTGGCTAGCTAGTTCTAATTGGAATTGCTGGGTTGGCGCAACACTTGCATTTCGAATTGGAATAATAACTTTGTTGAGTTCTGCCGAATTGCATGTGCTACAAATCCTAATTGGACACGACTCTTCACTAGCCTTGCGAATTGGAATATGAGTTTTGTAATTCCCATGCGATATTCCAATTGGAAGTTCGGCTGGCTATGTTAGGCTGTCGGCTAATGTTTGCTCAACATTTGCTGCTGCTGCTGCTGCTGCTGTCTCTTCTTCTTCTGCTTCTTCCGCTTCTTCTTGAGTTGTTCACATAATTTCACTGGCATTCCAATACGTAACAGCTGGAAAGGTTTCATATTTATATTCATAAAGACATTCATTTCCATTTCTCTATTCGCCGGTCTGCGTGTGAGTGTGTGTGTGTGTGTGTGTGTGTGTGTGTCTGTGTATGTGCCGGGTCACATATTTTCTATTTTTGTCAATAAATTATAACGGTTGTGAAATGTTATTAGCATTAATTAATTATTAAGCTCATAGAAAAATAGAAAGTGACCAACAAAAACATCAACAACAACAACAACCAGAAACAACAACATTCATTTGAATCAAAATTATCAAAAGGCGCGTCCATACATCGAATCCGAAAAACTGTTAATTATGCATCAACTGATTCGAATGAAGCATGAAATTAAGATCGAAATCGAAACCGAAAAAATTGTTAATTATGCGCATCTTTGCATTCGAAATTATGCCGGAAATCAAGTTCGAAAATGGTTAATCAGCGAACAAGCGAAAGTGTCGAGGAGGCCTTTTGTCTCTGTGCCAGCCACACATACATTACATATGTATGTATGTGTATCAACTGTTATAAAAACTGTTATACGACTGTCTTCCTTATCGAACTATGACATAAATATGCATGAGTGTCGCGCTGTCATTCATAGACAAACTGGTATACAAACTGTTATAACCATGCATTGATTTCATCTGAATTCCATCTTGACAGTCCCACAAATTTCTTTTCAGTTTCGTTTCTAATCAGATGTCGCTTTGATTACGTATCAAGTGCTTCGATTATGCTAAACAGCTTCTCACACACACGCACACACACACACTTCAGCATCCTGCTGATGTTTATATAACACGCAGACATTCGCTTGGCTTTGCCATTTTGCATAATTGGCAACTCGCTTTCTTCTGCTTCGAAATTTGAATGGAAGCGAGTTGCCGTAATATCAGAAATTATTGAGGTAGCAGCTCAAACAGGTCGAATGGATGTGAGCTAGAGATGAGACGAGACGAGAGAGAGAGAATAGGCATAAGCCGAGTCGAGCAATTGATGAGGAAGCTTAAAATAAGGAACAAAATCAACAGGCTACAACGAGAGTGTGTGAGAGAGAGAGAGAGATCGCGAGTGCGAGCTGTAGATAGAAGTGGGCAAACAAACTAGAGAAGATGAAGCAGAAGATGAAGCAAAAGCAGAAGAAGAAGCAGATGTATGCTGGAAAGTAAACGAATGCCAAATCGAAACACAAATTTGCTAAGCAATAGCCACAAGAACAACAACAATAACAACAACAGCAACATTAACAACAACAGCAAATACAAATATGCCGTTAAGCAGAACACCCAAACATAAGCGAACGCAGCCGCGACGGCGACGTCGACAGCGGCGAGAGCAGCAAACTGGCTGACACAATTTCTCGGCGACTTTTTACGTGCATTTGGACACTGCGAGCTGTTTTTTTTTTTTTTTTTTTTGCTTTTGCTTTTGGGCTTCCTGGCCATCATTAGCCGCATTTGGCCAAGCTAAGAGTTCTGCTGGCCGCATTTCGCACCTCATCATCATCATCGTCATCATCATCATCATCATCATCAGCAGCAGCAGCAGCAGCAATCGAGCCAACGATTCGAAAATTCGAATAAAGCAGCTGAATATTACAACAAATTCGATGATTCGAATGCCCGAAAAATCGTTCAATTTATTATTTACCTATTTACACGTGCGTTATCCTGGCTGGCGGCGCGTATATCAAGTACTTTATCACTTTTTATGCAACAAAAAAACGTGAAAAAAAAGTATCATAAAAATAGTTCACAGCAATATGTAAAAAGAATTTGAAAAAAAAAAAATGTGATTTAAATCGGCGCGCGCTTGCAAGCTAAGGGGAGGAGCTTCGCCTCGGATGTAAAGTGGACTCAACGTGCGGAGACGCGAAACACAACTGCGCTAAGAAAACGACATCGAGTCGAGTTATTGGCAATTCGAGGCGAGCCGAGCGGGCCAACTGCTGCTCGAGACACGTTCGAAAGGGTCAGCTGAGCGCGGCTTTCTTTTTGCCATCGAACACGTTGCCGCTGGCAGGTGCGCGCCCGCTCTTGGGGAGCTGGGATCGAACGGGGAGCTTCTGCTCGAGCCTCGAGACTCGAGACAAGTTTGAGAGCGCACGCCAAGTGTGGCTTTCTTTTCGTTGCCTTCGCACATGTTTGAGAGGAGTCTCCATGTGTGAGTGTGGAGAACTAGTGCGATCAGTCGATCAGTCGGATCAGCTGAGTGGAGTGCGGCTTTCTTTTTACTATCGAACATGCTACAGCTTATGCGTGTGTGTGTGTGTGTGTGACTTTGACGGCCCCCAACTAACGGGAGTCACATTGGCATCGCTGGAACATGTTCGTTCGCTCTACCGCCCGCCCGCCCGCCTTGCATATGTAATTTGCCTCGCATCGAACTGACGAAAGGCAGCTGTGATTGGTGCCAGTTGGGCAATTACTCAACTCTCCTCTTCCGACTCGACCCACTGCATCTGCCGCTGGGCAATGCTAATGAGATGTCATTGGTGTTGCTGTTGTTGTTGTTCTTGTTGGTTTTCCACTTTGCGATGATTGTCGCCTATGGATGAGACGCTTCCATTGTTGTCTCCTTGCGTTGAGTGCGTGAGTCAAGCGGCCGCTCCCTGGGAACCTTGAGTCCAACTTCTACTTCTACCACCGCCTGCACAGACAAAGCAGAAGACGTGATCGGACGTGATCCGGCATGATTGAGCTGGGAGGCATTGGACCACAGACCTTGAATTCGCCAATGGAGATGCAATCAAATGAAATTGGTAGGCATCTACACACATACATATGTACTCAAGGAAGTAAGGGAGGTGACTCGATGTGCAGCTTTTAGATACCATACTCATATAAACGTACCCTTACAATACAGTTCCCTGAATATATTTTAAGCGAAATGACTTTGAATACTCTGCACTCAGTCGAAAAGCCCATGACAGCTAAAATTCACATGCATACATATAGAGTGTGGATTATCGTTAGTAAATAGAAACGACACTATGTATGTGTCATAGAACCTCATTATATAGATGATATGTACATATATGGAGTAAGTCACGTCGTATCAGAAAAAAGTGTTGCCCCCTTCGAAATGAATAAGACTATAGAATTATTAATAATATATTTTATGAATACTAAAACAGATTTATTTTCACAATATATGCAATATATGATATATATATATATATATATGTATATATATGTATGTATGTATGCATGTATATATAGAGTAAACTGGAATGGGAATGGGAATTGGGCCAAGTGAAACTAAAATGCCGCGGAGTTGCTCAGGAGAAGATCATAGTTTGGGCCTGATGGCATAGGCCTAGTGGAATAATACTCGCAAACAAGAATACATATAGACACTTATATATTTATATATATACATGTATATATATGTATATATAGATATAATATGAACATTAACAATTGTGTAGATCGGCCTGACATATAGAACAGTTGGTGCTCGATCGTGGAATAATACTCGTGAACAAGATGATACATATACATATACATATATAATACATATATAGACATTAACAATTGTATAACAGGGAAACACAAAAAAAAAAAAAATTGTAGGGCACAAAATATTGCATTAGGAAATTAAAATTTGTTTTTGTTTTTTTGTTTTTGTTTCAGTTGTTTAGATCGGCTTAGAATATGGGTATATAGTTGTCGATCTTGGCGCGATGCTTCTGGGCAACGCACTCGGCGATCCAGACGATGTTGCGGCACTCCTGCTCCTTGAGCTTCAGATACGCGTAGAAGACACCAAAGTGGAACTGTTGCAAGAACGCGAACACATTCAGCTTGACCTCGTGCTCGAAGAACTTATCCTCGAGCGTCTTGTCTCCGGGATTGTTGCCGGAGCCATCGAATAGAGCTGCATACTCCGCGTAATATTCGGCGACAGTTTTCACCTGCTCATAGTCGTCGGCCCTGGCGAGGGCAGCAAGGCCATCGGGATACATCTTGCCACAGTTGGGATAGAGCTTGGCCCGATCGTCCTTCGAGAGTTCCGTGCCGAAGGAGTTGATCGTAATGATGATGGCACGACGATCGGCCTCGAACTAAAAATAACAGACAAAGACATAGATAAAGAGGAAGGTGGAGATGGATATGCAGGCTTACCGCTAGGATCTCGCACATGACATCGGCCGTGGAGCCGCCCATGTTCTTGCAGAAGTTGTAGAATGCCTCCAGATATGCCTTGTACAGGGTATTACGAATGATCTCAATGTTCATCTCATCCAGATCCTGTTCCGAAATGCAGTCGACAAAGAACGGGGCCAAAGGCGTGTCCACCAGAACCGCATTGTAGAGCTCGGCGGGCGTTGAGGCCACGTGGATGGCCTCCATCTGCTCGAAGCTACCCAACGGATGACACTTGGGTATCAGCTCCGAGATGGGGCGCTGATGGAGTGTGCCCGTGATCAACAATATGATGTTGTCAATCATATAGCCATACGTGATGAAGTCGAGGAAGTTCGACAGCGGCTCCACAGCATGGTTGCGCATATGCTGGAACTCAATGACCAGCTTCTCGCGCAGCTTGTCGTCGATCACCGACACCGAAAGCGGCGACGGCTCATTGGCCAAGAAGCTGCCATAGTCCGTGCCCTGCAGATGCAGCTTTAGATCTGTAAAAAGGAGAGATATGCAAATAGTGAGATTTGCTGCTCGCGCTCAAGGGATCCGGGTGCCTTATTACTAAATCACATGTGGTAAACTCTTGCGATTCTCCAGCTATGCTTATTCAACCTGACGCACACTTTCGTAGTCAAAAAAGGGAACATTCCCAAACTATACACTGAAGATGAGCACCTTGAGACGTACTTGACGATTCTCTTGAGGAGGAGTATTACGGAAACTATAAGTGTTGAGAGACCAAGACAGAGAGAGAGAGATACTCAATCAACGACTCTACAACTGCGATAAGAAATCAATAGCAATAGCTGATGTATAAATTATTGGCTTCAGTCTCCTCGCTAAATCTCTCTCTTTTCTCTCTGCTCAATTAGTCAACAGGTAGCACAAGCGCGTGACTCTCAAACTGTAGGTACAAGCGATTGTGACTGAAATAAATGAATTAATGTATAGTATACAAACTGTACATGTGAATCTGATCTATCTATACTCACATTTCACATTTACATTTCACAATTGTGCATAAACTATTTCGCATAGCTAATATGCTGCTGGCATGATTAACTTACAGGGTATTATGACAACAAATCACAAGGCAAGCTTATACGCAAATACACAAACACGCATATGCATGTGTGCGTATGTATGTGTGACTGATAGCTCGTCATGTGACTGGGGCGGGCGTATTGGAAATGGAGGCCATTAAATTGAAGTTGTTACACTCACCTTCCAGCGTCTCGCATTGGACCAGGTTGAGATAGTCGGCCTGCTTGAGTATGCCGCACTTGAAGCCGCGACAGAGGCCCTCCAGGTAGCCATTGTCTACGTTAAACATGAATCCCGAGCTGTCCATAATGCACAAAAAATGGGGATGGAAGAACGAGCGAGAGCGACAGAGACAGAGAAGAGATTGAAAGTTCGCTGGAATTCACTTGGTTTGGCTTGACTGGGTGGATGCACTCCGTTCGGCTGTTTTGGGGCTGGTAAGTGTTTGTTAAAACTGTTGCAAACGCTTTTTTAAACCAACACGTAGCAGCGCACGACGAAAATTCAACCTTTATTTTTCTCTATCGATCGACAAGTCATATGATTGCAGCAGACTGTTCTTCTTCTTGTTCGTATTTTTTTCATTAGACAACGGCGAAAACGCACTAAAAATGCCATATGTCAAATGACTAGGCGAGGCTGCCAACTTACTGGTAACGACTATTGGCAACGCCAGCAAATAGTTGTCAGTGCGCATGTCTCTTGACCAGCCCTGGTTACAGCAGAATTCATTTATAAAAGTAAAATATATTGTTTACATCTTTTTTAATATTTTATTAAGTTAGCTTATGCGTTGTTTGGCGACTTTTCAAAATGTTGTCCATAGATTTCCTCATTAGTAAGATATGGGCACACTAAGCTGGCGGTAAATTCAAATTTCACTCAAATACTAGGTTTAATTAAATAATAAAATATACAAATGACAGATTATATAAAATTGATTGTGATTTTTCAGATGCCCTTAATAATAATTACTTTTGTTGTATTTTTTTAATACAGTATTTTAATTACATATGATTATGTTTTTTGGAGAATTGGAAGCTATGGTCACACTCAAAGTTGATGATTTAGGCGCGCGTGGAAATGCTTTTTCGAATCGCAACATTTATTCCGACAACATTTAGTAATACAATAATTGATATTTGTGCACATTACAATATTTCAATGTTTTAATGTCTCTTCTTGATCAGTTTCCTCTGGTGCATTGCTGCGACCTCGTCGTAGCTAACGTAGTAGAAGGCGAACCACATGAAAATCAGCATATCGAGAAACATGAGGCCGGCGAAGAGGAAGAACTCGTTGGCCTGCGATTTAAAGAACTTGAGCTCGGCGATGATCACGACGATGACATTGCCGAAGGCAACGGTCAGCAACCAACAGGCCTGTAGCAGGGACTTGAGACTCGGTGGCGCCTGGGAGTAGGAGAACTCCAGCCCTGTCACAGAGAACATGACCTCGCCCAGGGTCATGACCACGTATTGCGGTATTAGCCAGAGCATGCTCATGGAATTGGGCTCAGTTAGCTCGAACATGTGCGAGGAGTGATCTTCATTGCTAGCCGGGCCTATGACCAACGCATAGACACCGCCAGGACGCAGCATCTGCTGATGGATCAGCTGCTGACCGATGAACACCTGGTACTCGATGGTGTTCAGCTCGTGCAGGTCGTAGTTGCGCGCCTGCAGCTCCAGAGCCGTGTTCCCGCTGCGCACCTCCTGCCAAACGATTCGTTTGCCGGCTGCCATGTTGGCCAAGGTGCGGACTAGAGCTTTCGACTTGTTCGACTTCTGCAGGTCATCCACGTACCAGAGCTTCGATACCGTATGCTCGGAGCGCAGGAACAGGGTATGAGCCGTTGCCTCCACGAGAAGCTGCGTACCACCCTCCACATCTGGGCAGCCTGCAATGCAAGGGGGTTACTCCTGC